TAAAAATACTTTCCACGGCGATTTTCCTAATAACCGCCGCGGAAAGTTTTAAAATAACCCTACACAGCATGTTCGGTTTCTCTCATTTTCACTTTCGTTTTAGTTGTGTTGTGGTCCCCTTTTGTCCCACCACCAAAAAACTTCCATTACTGGCCATTCGCCTTACTCTCCCATCGTTTAAACTCCTCCATTTAGCTTGTGGTGTCTTGCCGCCGTTTGAACGCTCCTCTTTTCACATTTGAATCATCTCTACTTTGTGAATATCCTCTTCTTTCATTTTTTTTTCAATTTTTCTTAGTTTCTTGAATGTTTTGACCATAAAAATCTGTTGTATTTCAAATGGGTTTGTTAGTTTTACATTGTGGTTGGCTTGTATTGTTGATTTTGTGTTTTTTATGTCCTTGAACCGTTGATTGGTGGACATTTGGTGTGAGAAAACCTCAATTCCTTCCTATATACTGTATTAAAAACATGTTTAAATGTTTGAAGTTGATTAGTTTTAAAGTTTTTTATTTTTTTTAATAATTTTTTGATATTTATTTCGAATTTTTGGTAGTTTTTTTGTAATAAATAATCTGTTTAGTATTTTGTGATTTTTTTTGTTATGAACTTTGATTGATGGTAAAGTGTTGTTTAAAATTTCATTACAAATGAATATCATTTGTGTTTCCGTTTTGGATTTAGAAGTTTTAGCTTTAAGAATCTTTATTCACGAATTGGTTTGAAATTGAATTTTTATTTTTGTTTTATTTGTTATATTTCTTCAAATTTATTATGTTGAAATATATTATGAAGAAATAGTTTTTTTTTGTTGATTGAAATAATTTTTGTTTAACTATTTCACAAAACTTATATTTGTTTGATTTTTTTTATTTCATTAAGATTTCGTTCATTCACTATACATATACTAATTTTTAAGAAATTACTTAATATAATTTTTAAAAATAATTATATATTTTACTTTTTTATTATAATATATTTAATAAGATAAATAAGGGTTGAGAAAATTTTAATTTTGATTAAAAATTGAGTTTTTTTTCTTCTAATTTGGTGTTTAATTTGTACATAGTTGTTAAGGGGAAATTTTGTCAAACATGGATAAGCCTGTTACTTTCAAGATGCTGTTGGGGATTGTGGGTTCAGATATAACATACGACTACACCGTTGACAAGAAGGATTTTGTTCAGTTCCTCAACTTTGAGGAGCTTGATATAGTCTTCATGCAGCTCGTTATTTTGAAAGTTACAATACGTTTTCTTATTTCATGTTATACTTTATGCATGTCCTAATGTTTCTTATTTGAACAACAGGCATTTTACTCAAATCTATCAGAATGAAGGACTTAAAGGAACATATTGATTTATGTGTCCTCAAAGGGTGCAGAAAGAGCTTTATACTGTGGAAGCGAGGTCAATCTACATGATGACCACAATGACTCAGACCAAAAAGCCAACATATTTTGTACCTTACGTGGAAGGGTAAGTGTATTATTTTATTTGAGATACATAAGTTATATGTGTAGGATTATAATTAACATGGTTTGTCTTTTGCAGTTATCATTGGACTCTAATTGTTTGTGCCCCTTTTGATAACAAAGTTTACTGGTTTGATTCACTCTGTGGAAGTCCATCTAAAGAAACCATAGATGTCATCGACACGTTAGTTTATGTTTATATATTTATTACGTGTGAAATTTATAAAAAAACACTCTAATATCATTTTCTTTTATACTATTGATAGGGCTTTTCATGGTTTCAATGTTATTGCGATTAAACAAAATAGACAACTACCAACATGGATTATCCCAAAGGTATGTTGTTTGAATTAAATATATACTTTTAAACCTTTTTAGATGAATTAAAGTTAATGTTTATAATCAATAATGTCTAATATTCAATTTTATATTTTATTTTGTTAGTACCGTTGTCAACAAGGACATGTTGAATGTGGATATTATGTCATCTACTGTATGAATGACATCATTGAGACAGGAGTGACTGAGAAATTAAACGAGGTAAAGATAAGTTACGTTGCATGACATTCTTCAATTCATTTCACATTTTTGATCAAGTTTACTATGTTATTTTTTATTAACAGGTATTTCAAAAGACTACGCCATATCTTATGGATGACATCAACTTGATGAGGGACACTTTGTTAACAATATTGATATAAAATATTGAAACTTTCAAATAGTTAGGTCATTCCCCAAAAAATTCATTGTTAGATATTTTCTCTTGGTTTCCTCCTATACATGTTCATTATTTCTATTGTAAAGACAGAAGTAGTTACTTTTCTTTTTAAGATGCTGGTTCTCTTGGTTCCTATATGTGTTCTTTGGTCTTAGGTTCCCCGTAGTTCTCTTGGTTCTCTATTCTTGCTTTGTATAAAAGAAACTTCAATGCTTGCTGTATATATTAACTAACTAATTGATTACTTGTTCATATGGTCTTGTTTTACATATTCTGCACTGCCTGTATTTATTTGGAACTGTAAACTACAGGGTGGTAAAAAGAAAATCACGCAAAATTTTAAAAAAAATAAATAAATTTTAACGGCGGTTATGTAAGAAACCATGGTGGAAAGTTAGATTTCCATGGCGGTTACATAAAAAACCATCATGGAAAGTTATCTTTCAACGACGGTTTAATTAAAACCACTATTGAGATTTTACTTTCCATGACGGTTTTATGTAACCGCCGTGGAAATCTAACTTTCCACTGTGGTTTCTTACATAACTGCCGTGGAATTTTAACTTTCCACGGTGGTTTTTTACGTAACCGCCGTGTTTTGTTTACCTTTTAATGTCGACTGTATCAACTTCACCTTCAAAACTGCAGTGAAAAACCACTATTAACCGCCATTAAAAGCCTTTTTTCTGGCAATGTAGGAGGGAAGGGTATTTATTAAAAGTTGCTTAAATCCTAACCCTTGATCTTGTGTTTGTGTGGTGTGTTCTTGGCCATTCATTTAATCTCTTTGCCATGTGTCCCTTGTCTTTTTTATTCTTACTACCTAGATCTCTTAGATGTGCCCTACATTCAATAGAAATACTACCTCATAGGACACATCACATGCCGTTTATCACACATATGAAGAAAACATGATATTTTATTACTTAATTCCATTCTTCCAAACTTGACCCTTAACAAAATGTATTATTCTACATGGAATGGAAAACCGGACCGGACCGGCCGGTTTGGACCGGAAACCGGTGAACCGGTCGGAAAACCGGTTCGGTTGAACGTATGAACCGGGTTCAATTTGAACCGGTGTGGACCGGACCAAACTGGGGTGAACCGGAAACGAACCGGTTGACCCGACGGTTCAGTGGGTCATACCGGTTGTTTTTAAAAAAACAATATCTGCGACAAAACGACATCATTTCTTTGTAAAAATCCACTTTGGCTGACTGATGGCGGCGTGGCGCACGACCCCCTACCCTGTCGCTTCAGGTTCAAGCATCAGCCTTCAGAGCCTACTCCTCTTCCCTCTGTTTTCCTTATGGTTTCCCTCTCAGTTCTCTTTCCCTCCTTCTCTCCCCGATAAACCCATTTTTTGCCCTAGCTTCCCTCTTGTTTACCCTACCGGCAAGCCATTTCTTCTTGCATTTTCAGAGTTGGTGGTAGTTTCGCCATGGCTCATTCATGACTGGTCGGTGTTGACGGAAACAGAGTGCGTTCCGCGTTCTCGTTGATGGAGTTCAACCGCTGTTCAGAGTTCCGCCACCGTTCAGAGCTCCCTCTTGTTTACTCTGTCGCCATTTCTTCTTGCATTTTCAGAGTTCAGAGCTGTGGCTCATTCATGACTGGTTCGCGTTGACGGAGGCAGCGTGGGTTCCGCGTTCAGAGTTCAACCATCGTTCAAACTTCAGAACTCCGACGCCGCTGTTCTGGTTTGCAATTTTTTTTTAAGATTGTGAATGTGGTTTCAATTGGTTCTGTTAGAATTTAAAGTTTTGATTCATCGATTGTGAATTTGTGATTACCGTTCTGTTTGTTTCAATCGTGAGCACCATTGCTTTCCTTTTCTTTCTGCTTGGGCCTGATGAGATCTGAGAAGTAGAGGTAATGGGAGAATCAAGCAATGTAATAGTAATACTCAGAAGCAAAAATTCTGAGTATTACCTCACACGGCTGTATTGTCTATTCGGTTTATTATAGCTTTGATAGTTTCATCTCATCAGATTCACCTTACCTCACACAGCTGTATTGTCTATTCGGTTTATTGGCAAAAATTCTTCAATGGTTTATCTAACTTTATAGTTTATAGTTTAGAATTTTTCATTTACTGCGGTATACTTGTTGCTCTGATTTGGATTATTAATTGCTGTGGCTTTACTCTGACTCTGTTTTATTATTTCATCCCTAATTTGTAGCTTTTGTTAGATTATTTGGGCTGATTATTGATCATGGATGATACAAATACCGAAAGAAATGAGAATTTGAATTCCACGTCTAGTTTTGGTTCTGGTTCTGTCAACAATAATCCCAGAAATGAGAATCCGAACCTCACTTCCAGTGCCACCAATAATCCGAACAGCACTGCACCCTCATTTGGACCTGGTAAAACTGATCTTGCATGGGCATATGTTTCCCTTAAGAAAGAGGGGAAAGTAAATGTCTTTACCTGTCTATTTTGTGCATCAAGCTATAGAGGAGGTGGGATAAATAGAATGAAACAACATTTAGCTGGTGTCTCTGGTCAAGTTTCTTCTTGTAAAAAAGTTTCTCATGATGTACGTGCCAGAATGAAAGAATCTTTGGTAGAAGGGTCAAAGAAAAAACCTGTTAAACATGTAGAAGATGACACTGAAACTAGGGAAATTGAGGAACTGGTTGATTCACCTCCACTTAGAATAGGCATTGAAAGTAGTGGCAACAAGAGAAAAGCTCTTGAAGTTGGGAGGGTTGACAATTATTTTGCTCCTAGGACATCTCCTGGTTCCCAACCAAGCCTCAAGAGTGTAGTCAACTAAAGAAGCACAATATAATGCCAAGATGGTTATTGCTCAATGGGCTATTGTTAATTGTATTCCATTTAATGCATTGGATTGTCCTCTTTTTCAAAAAGTTGTTGATGCTATTGCTGCAATTGGCCCTGGTTTTAAAGCCCCTAATGCTTATGATTTTAGAGTTAACTTGTTGAAAGATTGGAAGAAGGAATGTCAGTTACTGATTGAGATTCATCGTGTAAAATGGAAAGAAAATGGTTGTACACTCATGGCTGATGGTTGGATTGATGTTAGACAAAGAACTTTGATTAATTTCTTAGTCTATTCCATACATGGTATGGTATTTGTGAAATCAATTGATGCTTCAAATGTAGTTGAGGATGCTAAAACTTTACTCTCATTATTTTGTGAAGTTATTGAGCGGGTTGGTCCTGAAAATCTAGTTCATGTGGTGACTGACAATGCTGCTAACTATGTGGCATGTGGTAAACTGATTAAAGAGAAATATAAAACTATTTATTGGTCACCTTGTGTAGCTCATTGCTTGAATCTTGTCTTGAGAGATATTGCTTCTATGCCTCATGTGTCAAATCTTGCAACAAAGGCATCTAAAATCACTATATTTGCATATAATCATACAATCTTCTTGTCATGGCTAAGGAAAAGACCGGGTTGGAAGGAAATTGTTCACCCTGGTGCAACAAGGTTTGCAACTACATTCATTACCTTGCATAGCATATATTTGCACAAGCATGATTTACAAGCATTGGCTATTGATAAACATTTTGTGGATCACAAATTGGCAAGAACTGAAGCTGGAAGAACTTTCAGTGCAATTGTATTAGACAATCGGTTCTGGAATGAATGTTATCAAGTGGTGAAGATTGTGTCTCCACTTATGAGACTTCTGAGGATTGTTGATTCGGATGAAAAACCCTCGTTGCCTTATGTCTATGAAGGGATGCAAAGGGCTAAAAATGGAATCAAGGACATCTTTCAAAGGAATAAGGAGCTATACAAGCCTTACACTAACATTATTCAAGCTTGATGGGACAAGCATTTGAAGTAAGAACTTTATGCTACAGCTTATATGTTGAATCCTGCATTTTTGTATAATCCAACTTTCATCAAAAAGAACAGATTGCAAAAAGATTTGATTGATGTCTTTGAGTCTTTCTCAAATGAAAATCTTGATTTTTGTACAATGATGCAGCAAGTGTTTATCTACCGTGATCGTAAGGATTCTTTTGATAGATTTTAATGTGAAAAAGCAGCTCAAAAACTAGATCCTCGTAAGTATATTTATATCATGTTTAATAGCACATATTAATACATATTTAATATCAAATATATGAATATAACTAAATATCTTTTATTCTATTATGCATATCAGTGGTGGTCATTTTATGGGAGTTCAATTCCAGAATTGCAACAAGTTGCAATACGTATTCTTAGCCAAACATCTTCTTCTTCTGGATGCGAGAGGAACTGCATCTTATTTGAGCGGATTCATAACAAAAGAAGAAATAGATTGGAACATGAAAGGTTAAATGATCTGGTTTTTACAAACTACAATCTGAGATTAAAAGATAGGTAATATTAAAAATTTTGATTTATGAATGTTTTTATTGAATATTGCTTATTTGCTTTTATTGAATATAGAATTTATTAATGTTGATTTTCTTACATTTTGTCATTGAAGGAATATATTGAACAAGAAGAAGACAAATTATGATCCTATTGATTATGAATCAATTGATAAAGTTGATTTTTGGGTGGTTGAAGATGCAACTCCTGAATTTGATAATCTAGATGAAATAAATTTTGAAAGAGTTGTCAATAATGAAGACATTGCAACTACATCAACTTTTGAGATTGAGAGGCATGATGAAGGTTTGTAATAAATTAATAATCTCTTCTGTTATAGTTTCATTTTTATACAAAAGTGTATAACTATTTTTTCCACATAACCATTAACAATTTAATTATTGTCATGTAGAGGTGATGAAGACATGCATATTCCTGAGCCTCCACCTTTGAATGATGATGATATTACTCCAAGTGCTTGTGCTGGTCCTTCTGTAGCTTCTCCTCCTCCTCCTAGTGTCTCAATGCCTATGGATTTAAATGAAGTTAATGATAACTTTGGTGTGGATAATTATTAGTTGGTTTAGTGATTGAATCATTATAGGTACCAATATATATATCTATTTTGATAGTTTTCTAGGATGAATATTTAGTATTTTGGTGACATGGGATGTCAGTATGACAATGTGATGTTATTTTGTTATGTAAAAAAAGTTAAAACTTCAAAATATATTGTAAATATATGATTATTTTTTGGTAATTTAAGGTATTAAATTGATATTGAATTTTTGGATGGTGTGATAAGAATTTTAATTATTTTTTAATTTTTTTAATTCCTCACCGATATGACTCCGGGTCAACTCCGAGCTGACCCACTAACCCTTGACCCACTGCCTTGACCGGTTCAGTTACTGGTCCGGTTTTCAGTACCTTGTTATTCTATTTATGTCCCTTCACCATTTTGATATTAAAATAAGAAAGAAATTAATAGGAAATTTGTGCAAAATGCAGCCCTTAATTATTCTTCCACCTATTTGGCCATTTTGCACAGTATGAGTACTTTTTTAGGGTCTTGATTTACCGAGTATCATTGGGACATGATCTGGCATTATATATATGCTTGCCATGGAGGAAGAAATGCCTTTCCCTCTACCTTTCATTAAAATATTTAATATTTATTTCGAAGTAAACTTGATCGCATTCTTTCTATCGGTCCAAGACTCTGAGAATATATCTTTGGGTACTAATACTACCTTTTTATCATAGAAAATTTCTCTAACTTTTCTTAAATCAAAAGTTAACCTCTAAACAGTTTATTGTGACTTTCCCCAAATAATATAAAACTAGGCTTTAAATTCTATTAAAGCCAACCTCTTTGCTTCCTAGGGACGAAATTATTTTTAAAATTTGTAAGAATTCTTCAGGTATTCTTCCTCAATTTTCTTCACTTATTTGAGGCCTCCTCATATTTTAAATAATTTAATTTTTGCTCGTAATTAGCCAAAAACCTGGGAATTTCTCAAATTTACTCCAGGGGTATTGTCATCATTTTTGGCCTCATACAGAGCTTGGAACCTCATTCCTATTTTTTTTTGAAATTTCTCTGAAATATTTAGGCCTACTTTCATCTCTGCTCAATTTCCAGCCTGGACTTTTCAAATTTTCATTTAGGTCCTTGCTCGGGTTTAGCTTCAGAAATCGTCTCAATGAGGTTCGTAACACAAGCTTTAGCCTTTAATCATCTCTAATTTCTATACCTGAGCTCTTGAGATTTTATCTAATCGGCTTGTCTCATGGTTCTAGAAAATTCGTACTTTGCGATTTGTTCCTAGGACTTCTCTCATCCTTCTAGGGAACTTTTAGAGCTCCTGCCAAAGGGTCTCTGGTAGCTTACAAATTTTAGGCTAATTCTAGCACTTTTAGGCATAAAATTTAGGATATTATAGGAATCAATTGATAACCTTAAAAAAAAAGAAACACAGAAGCATAAACAAGATAGAGGGGAAAAAATACAAGCCACGAGAAAAGCAGGCTCTAATACCACTATAAGATTTAGGCATACCTAGAATGCAGATGAATATTTTTGGTATCTAGGAGTAATTTGATCAGATAAATGGAGTCAGATTTTGGTTAGACAACAAGTACACTTGTGAAGAGAGAATGAGAAAGTAGGAAGGGAGAAGAGTTACATAGAGAAAAACTCCTTAGTCAGGGAACTATCATGCACAGCCATGTACCTATCATGCATCCTTCAATTTTTCTTTTGAAAAACTAGATAAAACTATTCCCTAAAAAATATAATGAGTATTTTCCAAGTAATAACCCTTAGTCTTTAGCTTATTATATTTTGGACCCCAAACCTTATGGGCTTGGGCCTCATCCACCAAGGGCGGATCAAGCTAAGTCTAACAAGTAAGAAGCCACAAAAGAACTTAAATTAAAATCTAACACAGCACATAGAGAGGATAGTGGCTCTAAAAGCCATCTCATATGTATCATTCCTCTTATTTCCTCAGCTACCAAGAGATTTGGAGCTTTATTACCCACTCTACTAACCAAAGACAATGACTAATTCCTTCTCAACCTCAACAGTCAAATTTGCTTTTGTAAAACATCGACACATCTCCCATCACAACCCTTTAGATTACCATTCTTCAATCTCCCAAACATCTTTTGACAATCAACCTCTATTATCACTCTATTCCAATTCAAAACTTTAATATTCTCAAGAGCAGAATTCAAACATGGAGTTTCAACCATAAAAGAAGATTCATTGATTAAAAAAGCTATACCTCCAATGAGCTTCCCCTCATAATTCCTATAAACCATCCCGCGTTGTAGCATTTCCTATGTTAATACAAAATACAACATCAATATTTACGTTAATCACATCTTTATCAGGTGGCTCCTAAAACAACTTTCTATCTAATTATTATCAGAAACTTCTCTTCTTCTTCTCTTTAGCATTGCCTTGGCAAATTCTCTTATGAAGTGAATTGCATTAACCATACACTCTGTAGCATTCTCTTCTATGCCTTCAAATACTAGCTTGCATCTAGCCTTCCACATTTCCTAACAGATTCCTGTAAGCAAAGTCACATCTTGATCATCATGCTTATTTTTACTTATCAACCACTTTGTTAGACATTTATCAAGTCTAGAAATACCTACTTCTTCAGATTTCTAAGATAAGGAAGATCCAAACTAGCACAACGCAGCCCGTGGACAGAAAAAACAGCATATGCTCAATTGTTTCAGCATTCATTTGACGGATATCACATGACAGGCTTGGTGCATATTTTCTTTTATACAAAGCCTCTTTTGTTTCCAAAGTTCCATTAACAACCCTCCACATAAAATGAGCTATCTTAGGTGGAAATTTAATGTTCCAGATTCCACTCCATAGCTTTTTCAAAGGACTGTAAGAGCTTTTTGGTTTTTTCTTTAATTTCACTATCACTTCCTCTAGAGCAACTTTATAGCCCAATCTCACACTATACTCTCCATATCTACTTTTGAGCCAAATCATTCTGTCCTTCAACTCATTAAAAGGGATTCTAACCTACATTACCAAAGCTTTGTCTGCATCATTCAAAACCTCCTCCATTTCATTAAAACACCAACTCCCCTCCTTAACCAAACTACTAATCCTCCTTTATTTAAGAGCTTCTTTCAAGTTTCGTCCTTTTAGTTTATAATCCTTACTAACAAGGAGCCATTTGTCATTAAAAAATTCATACTTCATTTCTACTTCGTACCCTCTAAGAAAGATAATCCATTCTATCCAGAATACTTGTCCATCCCAAGAAGCTTTGCTGCCATTTTTTTCTTTTAAAAAAATATGTCTTAGCAAAATAAAGACCTTTCAAAATTCTTGCCTAGTGTGTTTCTGGATTCTAAATTAACCTCCAAGTAGTTTTAGCTAATAAAGCAAAATTAAAATCTTTTATGTTACAAAAACCCATTGCACCCTCTCCTTTAGCTATACTAATCTTATTTCAAGACTTCCAATGAATTCTACCTTTTCTTTCCTTCTGACCTCACTAGAAATTAGAAGTCATACTATCTAATTCAACACAAACTTTATTGGAAAATCTAAACCAAGACATAGAAAATACAGGAATAACATTAGCAACTGCCTTGATTAGAATCTCTCTACCTCCAAAAGTAAGTAGCTTTTGTTTGCACCCTTTCAACTTCATACTCATCTTATATCTTATAAAAGAAAGGGCTTCTATTTTATATCTTCCCAGAAGCATTGGTTAACCTAAGTACTTACCCGAATTTTCGCTAGCTTTGATTCCTAAGCAATGAAACACTTCCTTCTTGACATCTTCACTTGTGTTTTTAGAGAAAAAGATACAACATTTATCTATATTGACAACTTGATCAGAAGCCGCACAATAGTTATCTAAGATTCTCTTTAGAAGGATACAATTTTGCCTCTTAGCATTGATGAAG